CGGATCAATATTTTGGCCTCAGCAGACAACTACTTGCCCGGAACTTCGGGCAACCACACATCCGAGCGCGTCTCCTTTGCTATCTCTACTCGTTCAATGTGATGCCAAGGGCAAGCGGGCACAACAAAATCCGGAGTGCTGACCTCTACTTTGCATACAAGATGCACCACAGGCCTGAGAACACGGAGGAGGGGATCCCTCTCTCGGGCATCATCATCAAACAACTTTAGAATGTCGTCTTGAGCAACAATCAAGATAAGACATTTGTTTTCCCTATCTTGCTTTCTAACATTTTTGAACATTTTGGTGTTAGCTTTATAGGGGAGGAAGAACGAGAGACACACTCCGTGCTTGATGATGATTCCATGAGGCATCTCCGCTATTCCCAAGCTACACCCGGAGCACCTTGGAGATGTGTAGCCGGCTATCACCAGATCGTGGAGGAGGTGAATGAAGAAGAGATGATGGAAGGAGGAGAAGCCCAAGGTGGGGAGCCCGAGGGAGACCATGAGGAGCACCATGAAGAGGCGGCTCACGTACCTCAAGCCGGAGCTTATTACAACATGGACTACTTGACTGAACAATTTGGTCAAATTCATACGGAGCTTGCGGTTCATCGACGGGATTTGCGGAACCAACAGCGGGCTATTGAAGGCTTGGGAGACCATCTTTTTAATGTCAACTACTATTGCCAAGAGTTGGGGCGACATTTCAACATACCACCACCGCCACCTTATGACCCACACTGTTATTTCCCTCCCCAAGGAGATGGAAATGAAGGAGATGAGTAGTTTAAGAAAAAGGGAAGTGTACTAAATTGCTAAACTTGATACACTTTTTGTTTGTTCTTCTTTAAACTCATTTTTACCACTTTTGTGCCTAGTATGTGCTATGTGTTGTGACTATTCTTTGCTTTGCCTTGTGAATCCACATTGGGACAATGTGGAATAAGTGTGGGGGTGACTTTACTGTTCAAAAATTGTGCATGATTTTTTATTGAAAAATTGTTCAATTTTGATCCATAATTTTTGAAAAATATTTTAGCAAAACCCTTGTCCTCCAAAACCTTTTTCAAAATAATTTTTCTTAAGGTTTTGTCTTAATATGTTCACAAAAAGTTTTAAAATTTGCTTGAGGACAAGCAAAGCTCAAGTGTGGGGGTATTTGATAAGCGTTCTATTAACGTGTTTTATACAATCGTTTATAAACGTTTTTATACTTAAAAGAATAAAACTCTCACACATATGTTTCGTTTTGCAAGAAATACCTTTATTGACGATTGGACCAAACACGAGGATGATAGAATACACACGAAGAATCCTGACAAGAGAAGGTCAACCAAACGAAAAATGCACAAAAAGGGTGAAAGCCGACCGGCTTTCACCAATGCTGGCCGGTTTTCACCAGCCAGCCACTTAGTTGTCGTCCAAAGATGAAGAAAAGGACCCGGAACCAAATTCGACGAAAGCCGCCCCGGCTTTCGTGAAAGGCGCCCGGCCTTGGGTGCCGTAGGATTATTAAAATAATTCGAGCAGAAGCCGCCCGGTTTTTGGCAGAAGCTGCCCGACTTTTGACCCCTGGAGCGACTACACTTATTTTAAAAGGCCAAAAGCCGCCCGGCTTTCACAAAAAGCGCCCGGCTTTCATTTGTGAACGTTATAACAACAACGGTCATCACAATCATTCGGGGAAAAACACCAAACCCCATTAACGAGCTTGCTTCCTTGTCCGAAAATGGCCGTTGAGGACTCAATATTTAATAGGATTGAAGCCCTCTCAACATGATATTCCATATTCCATACACTTTACTTCCATTTTAGCATTCCAAGATCAACCCCTTGGTTTTGGAAGAAGTTCTACACTTGAGGATTCCATTGTCCACCATAGCTTTGGAGTTGTGGTACTACTTTCTTATGTATTTCATTGTATTTTATCATTTCAATACTTGTAATTTCATTATGAGTTGTTCTAGCTAATTTTCTATAGCCAAGGTTAGGGATGAAACTTTACGCACTCTAGGTGTTTGATGTATGTTCTCAACCAAACTATTATGATCTTTCCTTTATATTTTTAATGTGTATGACTACGGTGTACAACGTATGATTATATCGTTGGGTTTATTTGAGCAATTAACGTTGAGTTATAAACCGTGCACTTAAAGGTTAGACATATTCTAATTGTGGATAGACTTATACCTCAATTGAATATGGTGGATTTTATAATGTCCTAATCTTCAATGGGGTTAATTTTAGATGAATGTGAACCGTGACAGGATTCACACATAGAATTAATCACAATCTCACTGCCGTAACAGGAGTTAGAATACTTTAGTGATATTCCACTCATAAGAGTTGGGGAAAGAATGTACATTAATCCTGAACCCTTGGTTGCTTTTACTATCACTTGAAAACAAAAAATCTCTACTCTTTTACTAAGTCTTTTACAAATTCTTTTCTCAACTTTTGAATCATATAAAGAGTGTTTCCTCATGTTCCATCCGGTATTTCTACCAGATTTTATTACTACATTGGTACTTGTACACTTGCAAGTTTAAACCGATCACGGGCCTGCAGCCACGCACTAGGCCCCGTCACTAACTCCACTTTGAGAAGAAACGGGTAGTTGATCTCCAGGAGGAGCTACGGAAAATGTTCAACTATTCAAGAATCAGAGGAAGTGCCACAAGTTGAGCCTGAGTGTGACTACTGCGCGACTGAAGATGGGGATAAGCAACAGGAGTAAATGACGAAACAGAGTAGATTTTGGTCAGGTGTTTCCGAATCGCGTTGATGTAATTTTTTTGACGAAAAAGAGTAAAACGGAGTACTGAACTCCGAATTTGAAGTGCCTGCGAGGACCTGACGAAAACTTTAAAGCTTTTCGGATCTGACAACTCCGAAAGAGTTCTGTCAGAAAATGTCAGCCATTTTCGGAGCTGACAACTCCGAATTCAGAAGATAGATTTCCGCGATTTCCCAACAATTTCATTGGTCCGTCGGATTCTAGATTGATAATATTTTCAGCATAAATACTCCTCCTCCTCCACACTTTCACACCACCAACATCTCCTCCTCCTCCCACACTTTCATACCAACAAAACAAACAAGGCTTCCTTCATAGGTTAGAGTTTATTATTATTATTATTATTATTATTATTATTATTATTAGTATTATTATTATTATTATATTATTGTTATTATTATTATTATTATATTATTATTATATTATTATTATTATTACAAAAAGAAGTTTAATATTATTTGTTCTTATTATTCCATTAGTAGTAATAATTGTAGAACTTTTTCATATTTACTTACTTCATATCCATTAGTAGTAATAATTGTAGAACTTTTAAACTACATAATATTATTGAACACATTTATTAACACTAAATTAAAAACATGATAAAAAATTTAGTATTTGTTTACGTATTAATTGTAGGTTGTAATGGCTGAACGAGTTGCACACCCTGGCCCTCGGGATCGTTCTGTTTTAGTTATGATACCCGGTGAGCATCGTGCCGATCGTGTGTGGCACGAATCAGCATTTCGAGATGACAAACTGAGGTGCCATCACTATTCGTCATGTGCCTATGTTGATGATGGTTCGCGTCATCCTGGGGTGGTACGGTTGTTGAGAGCATCTGGGTTTCACGGTGTCGAGAGAATATGACAAATACAGTTAGATTGGTCACTTCTGACTGCGTTAGTGGAGAGGTGGAGACCCGAGGTACACGCATTTCATTTGCCCTTTGGTGAGGTAGGATTGACTTTACAGGATGTGCAAGTGTTGTTGGGGTTGCCCATTGACGGCATACCACTCGCTGGTCCCACGATTACTGATAAGGCAGCGTTGTTGCAGATGTGTGCACAGTCTGCTGGTTTTATACCAGAAGATGATGATTTAAATTCAGCTACCATAAAAGTAACAAATATCCACCCCATTCCATTAACCGATTGGAGCACTGAATACGAGGTGACTCAACACACTAGGGCCCTCATTTGGCAGTTGTTAGGTGGTTCATTATTCCCTACCACTAGTGGAAACATGGCTAGTTGGTATTTCTTGGAGTTGTTGCAGGGGAACTTAGTAGATGTGCGCCGATGGAGCTGGGGCTCAGCGGTCTTGGCCTATCTGTATCACACCATGTGTAAGGCGGCCAAGGCCCAGGCTAAACAGATTGGAGGATGTTTAATCCTTCTACAAATCTGGGCATGGGAGAGATTGCCGATGGTTCGGCCCCAAGGTCATCTCCCACTTGACCATATATTGGATTTTCCGTATGCTGTTAGGTATTGTTTAAATAAACAATACATTATCTATGTTACTTTGATTATTGTATTACAAGATGCTATTTATGCTTTTAATCTACACTATTTATTTATTTATTTATTTATTTATTTATTTATTTATATTATTGTTCATGGAAACTAAATCTAGGTGGGCGTGTCAACATGGTTGGCAGCAAACAAACAGATTTTCGTTACGGGTATATAGGGACCAACTAGATCGGATGACGGAAGATGAGGTATAATTTGTTACTTGTACAATTCAATTTTACATGATTTTTAATTTGTTACATTCAAATTCAATAAATTAAATGATATAAATAACTATGTGTGCTTACTAATTGGGAGATATTTTTCAGTTCGAATGGACCCCCTATCCGTTGATGAACCTTCCAGCATATTGTCATGATGCGAACGATTTGTGGGCTGCGGAGGTTCCATTGATTTATACACGTTTTTCTGAGGCACACTATCCTAGAAGGTTTTGTCGTCAATTCAACGCATATCAGGATCGACCCGCTCCGGTTGTGGCAGAGCATCGTCACCACAATAGTGGATCACGTTTCATGGTCGAGCTTGTTGAAGAATGGGCATTACGGTGGAACAAAATATTCTCACTTCAGTGGGTTGACGAAGGTCCTTTCATTAGTGATGAGTACCGCGAGTGGTACCGTAATGTAGGAAAACGATGGCTCACAAACCTGTGTGTTGATCGTCCCACTCAGGGATTCGTTCCTGCTCACCCACAAGCGGCTATTGCGGTAACTATTCGTTTTAATTCGTAATTCTATTAACAAATAATTTGAAACAAATTATAAAAACTGATGCATATTTTAGATTCAATGTTTGGGTGAGATAATTCGCCGATTACGAGTCAGAGATGATCCGGATGACATCATTGCACACGGTGTAGAGTGTCTTACACGACTTGGTGCAGAAGAAGCGATTGATCATGACATCATCACATATGAAGCTGCAGATGTTGATCCTCTCACTGCTCATCGTCCCCCACGCCCTCATCGTGGGAGGGGCGGTCCCACACGCGGAAGGCGAATTGGCCGGGGTAACGTTCGGATGGGGGATGCTGGCACCCATGATGATGCACATCTGCATTCTCAATCCTCTCGTGCCAGTTCATACCATCCATCTCCGGTGCATCAACCACATGTGTACTCCACACCCACCAGTCCAAATATTCCTATATTCGATGCAGGACCTAGTTTTTTCCATTCACCGGTGGATTGGATGATCGACTTATTTGGCTCTGAGACTGCAGGACCGAGCACCCAACCTGCTGTTGAGGTTAGGCCGAGATGGGAGCCTCGCAGTCGTGAGACAGATTCAGACGAATCTGAGTAGTTGTAATAAATTATATCATTGTAGCTATATTAAATCTATTATATATGTTGTGGTTGATATTGAATATTTTATCAGATAAAATATCTCTGTATGGATGCTCACCCACCCCGCAACTAACATCATTACTCCCAACCACTTCAATAATGCCTCTGGTCAGATTAAAAAAAATACTTTATCAGATAAAATATTCCCAGTCAGATAAAATATCTCTGTATAGATGCTCACCCACCCCGCAACTAACATCATTACTCCCAACCACCTCAATAATGCCTCTGGTCTCAATAATTCACCTCTAACACTCACTATATAAGCAACACTTCACACACTAATTCTTATCACTCACATCTCTCATTTCTATCACTTATAACTCTCATTTTACCACTCACAACAAAAAATTATGTCAACTGAGTAGAACATAATAGTTCTTGTTTATTGGAATGGGGTATTGACTAATGTTGACAACGAAGTCAAATACTCTTCATTTCCGAATGCAGTACTTTTCTTAACTGCCGATGTTAGCTACACAACACTGTGTGAGCGTATTATTGCTGAGATTTCTCGTGATGGTTTATATAATATCAAAACCATTCATGGAAAATTTCCCTTTCATACTACAGATGGTGTGTGTGCATCTATGCCGTGGCCCATTCACGATGACCAGTCATGGATCTATTTTATGCAAATAGCTTCGAACGTGTACGAGCGCTTGGAGTTATTCATTGATGCAAACAATAGGGATGTCATTATTCCATTGCACGAAGGCCCTTCTAGGCGGCGGCGCAACCGGGAGCCATTATCATCAACTCAAGGTCCTTCAATGGTTGATATGGATCCGCCACATGAGGACGTGGAGGATGAAGAGGATGAAGAGGATCCCGACTACAACTATCTTTCATTTTCGGAAGAGGAGAGCGCTTCCGAAGATAGTAATGATAGTCGTGACTCATCTTGGGTTATGCCACATAACCAAGAGGATCCGTTCGTTGAACCCGCATACCGTGTCGTAGACCCAATAGAAGTGGGAAGAATATATGATTCCTATGACGAACTCAAAGAAGCAGTCTCTATTCAAAACTTGAAAGAATATCGAACATTCCGGAGTGAGGCAAAACGTGCAACATACTGGAGGGCTAAATGCGTCTACGATGAGATGTGTTCGTGGCACATTCAAGCATCACAAGTGAAGAGCACAAACCTCTGGAAAGTAAAGAAGTATCAACCCCGCCATAACTGCCTTCCGAATTATACAAGAGGCAGAATCGACAAACTCCTTACAAGTAAGCTCATCGCTTCTGAAATTAGTTCCACGATTCGCATAAAACCAGAGTATAGTATTAAGTTGATAATGAATGACATACACCAAAAGTATAACATTCATGTTGGATATAAGAAAGCGTGGTATGCTCGTATATTAGCACTCGAGAAACGGTTTGGCAATTGGGAGACATCGTACAACGATCTCCCAAAAGTGTTACAAGCAATGGCGTATACTAACCCAGGGAGCATAATTGATATTCAAAGTGATAACACCCAGACCCAAGGTACATATGAATTTAAATTTGCTTTTTGGTCAATAAAAGCGGCCATTGATGGGTTCAATCATTGCCTTCCGGTTGTGTCAATTGATGGAACTCACTTGTACGGAAAGTACAAGGGTCATCTCCTAGTCGCGGTGGCAATGAATGCGAACCGTGAAATCTACCCTCTAGCATTTGGAGTGGTAGATAGTGAGAATGGTGCTAGTTGGACGAGGTTCTTACAGTTGCTTGTGACACACATCATACGGCCGCATCGGAATGTTTGCATCATCTCGGATAGGCATGCGGCTATAGATTATGCATTTCGGAATGTGGAAGAATTGGGAACACCTCGATTTCAGAGACGTTACTGTCTTCGCCACATTAGAAGCAACTTCATGTCCCAATTTAGAAGTAAACAACTAAAGAAGTTGTGTTGGCAAGCGGGAAGTACCCCGATTGTAAGTGAGTTTAACCATTTCATGCAACAAATTAGGGGTATTAACGAGAGAGCATTCAAGTATTTAAATGACATTCCCCAAGAAAAGTGGGCACTTTTTTTTATGGTGGTTGTCGTTATGGTATTTTGACAACAAATCTTTCGGAAAGTTTCAACAATGCTCTCAAAGGATGTAGGACATTGCCAATCACTGCCCTTGTACGAGCAACTTTTGACAAACTAGTCCAACTCTTCGCCCAACGTCGTAGTGCTGGTATGATGTGGCAGCAAGCTGGATATCATTTTCCGGACAACATTCGGAAAGAGATTATGGAGCGTTGGCACCAAAGACCTCACACTATGGTTCTTCCACACAACCACTACACAGGAATTTACTCAGTCACCGTGGATAATGCAACACCTGTTACGGTGAATCTATCGAGACTTGTCTGTGAGTGCGGTTGTTGGAGGATGAACGGCATGCCATGCGTCCATGCGCATGCTGTCTGCCATTTTCTTAAGTGCCCTGTTGATCATCTTATTCCAGAGGTATACAAACTAAGTTCTTACATAAATGCACATTCCAGTGATATCATGCCATTGCCGAATCTGAATGAGTGGCCACAAAATGAGTTCATTCTTCTGCCGCCTAAATACTCTTCCAGAACTTCTCGAGTAGGACGCCATCAAGAAACAAGATTTCCAAATGAGATGGATATGCGTCAAAGACGCAGAGCACAACATGATTGATTCACATTTGTACTCTCTTATGGTGTATTATTTCTTTTCTTTGTAGTTTGTTTTAATGTTGTAACACTTTTATTAGCCATATGTTTCAAATGTACTTTTAATATGTTATGAACTTTGTTAAATTTTGAGTTTCATATGACTTAATGGGTCACTTATTATTAAACACGTGATACTGTAAACTGTATTTGTAATTACTTTCAAGTTAATAATGCTGAATGGGTCAACTGTTTTTAAAACTCGTCACATTGATTAAGTATATTGATACTTTTAATAATGCTGAATGGGTCAACTGTTTTTATTATTCGGGTTCAGTATTTGTGTTCAAAATATTTATTGGGTCAATTTTGTAAAACGTGTGCTTATTTAATTGAATGAGTCAATTTTTTGTAAAACGCGTATTCATGAATAATATTGTACAATTTTTACTTATGATTTATAACAAATACAAAAAAATCTTTTAAAAAAAAATTTAACAAAATTTTTTACTGAAGTGAAACATTCAGCAACAAAATTGAGGCCAAACAAATTAAAGTTGGGGTTACTCATTAAAGTTGGTCATCTCTGAATGGGTCATCTTGGAATTCGTTTTCTTGGAATTCGTTTTCGGACCTGCCAACTCCGAATTCGGAGGAGTTGGTCTGACATCGTCAAGGCTCTCTGTTTTCGGACCTGCCAACTCCGTTTTACGCTATTAGAGAAACCCAGGAAAAAGTTGCGTTATTTGGAATAAAATGTTACAATCCTACACTTATCCGTCAAACACCCAAGCAACAGAGCTGACAGCTGACGAGACTGAGATATACTATGAGGAATTGCTCAAGAGTTACTTTGATAAATTGAAGATGAATAGCGCTTTGCGTTTTTTGTGTTGATCTACGCTTTAATTTTCATGGTATCTTCCTGAGTTTTGCTTCTTAGGAAGAACCAAAGAAAAACATCCATGCATCTGTCATATGCTTGAAGAACCAAAGAAAAACTTTGTTTTTCAAATAATACTGTTATATTTGTAATCCTTGTTGCAGGAATTGGCCGGATAAACCTGCAAAAAAGCTTTAGAAAATAATAATATAGCTCGATATGTGTCAGACGCTGTCCTCAAGAAAGTATTTCCGAATCACGAAAACCTTTCTCCAAGATATAACGAGCTCTTCGGCGTAAGCCGGTAACAAAACAACGAGAGTAAAAATTATATATTAATCATGCAGAATAATTCGAAGAGATGTTTTTTCCTAGCTCTCTAAATAAGTAGTGAGGCAGCTAATTTTATGATGAGATATTTCGAACGTTGCTAATGTGCTGCATGCCAGGTAGAAAACGTTCACATTAATGATGAACGTACACATTAACTCTCAACGCTCAGCATTATAAAGAAATAAGAAACGTTGGAGTGTTGTAATTATAATTTATAACAATAATAAAAGCTATTAGCTCACCATACACTAATTTTGTAGTTCACAGGTGCATGTTATTTTTAATAAACACACACTACACATTTTTAGAAGTATACGTACAAAATAGTTTTAAAACGAATTGAATAAACAATTATAAAAAATAAATAAAACTAGTTTTATATATTTATTTTTCATTTGAAATACTCTCAATTATTCCAACAATCCCCCACATATTTCAAATGAATATTTTTAGATGTTAAAAATAGTTTAGAAAATTTCTGCTGGATTAAAGGAATGAGACTTTAAGTTTGATGTCCGTAGACTATGAACCAAACCGAGATTATTAAGTCTTAATAAACCGAGTTTTTGGTGAAACATATAGTTTCTATGAACCAATAAGCTATTATTGGTAAATCAGGGTTTTAACGGTCGTGTCTCACCCTGCACAATTTCTCATTATTACGCCGTTGTGCACCGTAAGGCCATGCACGTGCTTGGTGTTCATGAGTGCTCTAGAAGTTTTGTCATGCTTCATAGAGGCGACCCCACCTCACACCCATATAGGTGATATGATCAAATGTGTACCGCTTTTGCACACCACCCTAAAATTAAGAGCTATGATAATCATTACGAGCTTTTAGCTCACCCTCTCAAAGAATGCGGTTTCTAGCCTATATCTCACATCATGGAAATGGGAAATTTTAGTTAGGCTAGCAGAACTAAATGGAAGACTTGTTATTACCCATATGAACTTGCTTCATGAGATCTCCAGTCACACAAGTTGGGTTCCCATCCCCATTTGTTTCAAAGTGACACAAGTCCCATTTCCTTAGATGTTTCGGTTATCAATTTTCGTCCTAGGGCTTTTGTCAAAGGATCCTCTAAATTTCCTTGTGACCTCACAAAATTAATGGACACACTTCCATTCTTCAATAATCGTTTAATGACTTTATGTCTTAAACGAATGTGTCTATTCTTCCCATT